AGTCAGAGTATTTTCCTTCCATCCAAGTGCCCTGACAATTCTTTAACTTATATTTTTATAATTATTTATGTATTTTTTCTATTATTGAAAAAAAATTTGTGAAATAAATTACAAGTCATGTGCTCACTAATTTATCATTGGTCGAAATCATGCATAAATTATAAATTATAACAATTACGATCTAAATCAATAAAAAAATTTTTTTTACAAAATGGCAATTGACGAAGTTAGAGATAGATTGGTGAAGGCGGAGAAGGAGTTAAATCAGTGGAAGGAAAAATGGGGAGGAAGACTGGATGACCTGAAGAGGGGAAGAGAGAAGGAGGATTATGAAGGAGAGAAGGAAGAATTAAAGGAAGGGGAGAAGAGATTGGAGGAGATAAAGAAGAATTGGAAGGTATTATATCAAGAACTATTATATGGAGGAAAAGGTAATGAACAAACTGCATAAAAAAAAATTATTTTTTGTCCATTTCATTTTACTTATTTATTTGTATATTGTTTCAGCTTTAACTAACCTGCTTTTTTTTCAATACTTTATTCTAATTTCTTTTTTCTTACCATCTATCAATTTTTAAAATTATTCTCTCATCATCTAGTTAATGAGGGTAAGCATCTTTATTGTTTTTATATATTTTTTATACTGCTAAATTTGCTTATTAATTGATTTAAAATTTTTGGGATTCTTTTGAAATAACTATCATGAATTAAAAGCTGATGAAAATGCCCTACTTTTTTGGAAAACATTACTTGATTTGAACAGTTTGGTGCAAGACAACATTTTTTCACTTCCAAATGGCATTTCCTTTTTATTTTGGAAAAAACAATCCTACCCTATTAGAAAGTGTTACAATAAGATTTATGAAAAAATCCAAAATGAAATTCAAGATGGAAATAAAAACGAAAATGCTTCATTATTTTTCATAACTGGTAATCCAGGAATAGGAAAGTCATATTTTGGTCTTCACTTACTTTATCAATTTGCAAAATTAAAAAAAGAAATAATTTATCAACATTTCAACTATCCAGGAAGAGTTTTTTATTTTTCATCAAAAGAACATAAAGTTTTTGAGGGGAAAACACTGGATGAATTTAGTAGAGTATTAAATCTGGAATCAACATTACACATGGTTGATGATATGATACCTTCAAATTATCCTGCAGTAAAAATAGTCCTTACTTCACCTCAAAAAAAAAAGATTAAAGGTTGTAAAAAAACTGCAGAGGTGGGAATCCTATTACATGCCTACATGGACAATAGATGAAGTAGAAGATGCTTGTAATCTGTTATATACTTCTAGGTCTATAGATGATGCAAAAGAATTATATGAATTATGTGGAGGTATAGCTCATTATATTTTTGAATGGAAAAAAGAAGAAGCTTATCAAGAGATAGATTTGGCTATTAAAACCTGTGACCTTGGTAAGATAATAAAATCTGTTGGTGAGGTTGATGCTCCTCATGATACTTCTCATGTGATAGTACACATTGTAGTAGATCCTCAAACTTTTCAACGACACAAAGTTCAATTTGCCTCTTCTATCATCAGAGAAAAAATATATCAAAGATTTTTAAATGAACAACAATTTTCATTACGTAATTTTTTAAAAGCATGTGAAGATGAATCAATTACAGGTGGTATCTGTGGTAATTTGCTTGAAGATTTTGCACATAAAATGCTAAAAGCTGGTGGAAAGTATGAAATAAAATTATTAGAGTCAGAAGAAGAGTTAAGAGAAGGAGATACACAAAAGAAAAAACTTAAATCTAATAATGGAACATCAGCTTCTTTAATTAATGAATTAAATTTGACTGTTAAAGGAACTTTTAAGTTTTCAAAACTTGAAGAAATAACAGCAAAACATCAAGGTTTTTATTGTTATCCATCCATACACTCATTTGAATAAATTGATGCATTTATTCCAGGAACTAGATCTTCAAATCACTTACTTTTTCAAATGACAGTTTCAAATTCACATCCCATTAAACAAAATGGGTTAATGAAGTAATTAAACATCTCAATGAACTTCAGAATGAAGAAAATGAGACAGAACTATATTTTGTTGTTCCAGATGAAATTTATTTAACATTTAATAAGCAGAAGTTCCAAACAAAACCAGGAAAAAATGCAGAAAGAACACCACCAATTATACATTCTATCAAGCAATATTCTCTTAAAATTCCATTGGATGTAAATATGATGATTTCTTAAAATATTTTATTCTAGAGTTAGCACTAGATTTCTATTTTAATTCATTTTTTTTTTCTGTATGTGCTAAATTTCCATCATGTAATTTGTAAGTCTTAACAAACTAGAATAAAAAAAAAAATAATAGTAATAATATAAAAAGGCATGAGTGTTGGTGGTTCATTATTTTAAAATGCTATAATTTTGATAAAATTTAAAATTTTCAAAAACCTACAAAGCAAACATAACATTATAAAATTATATATATATAGGGATAAGTGTATATGAAAAGTAATAATAAGTACAATGGTTCTAATGAATATGAAAAAGCAATTGATTTTTTGAAAAAGGGTTGTGATTGTGGTTGTTCTTCAAGAATTCCCAAGGAACATTTTGCAGAATTAAGGGAATCCTTTCAGGCATATTTTTAATGGCTCAACTTAAAACCATGTATAGTGGATCAATAAGCACCAGTAGACACCTTAAAAAGAAAACACGATCTAATAAAAGAACCTTCTATCACTGGGATCACAATACACTGCTTTGTCAAGAAACTTATCTCAATATGTTAGGAATTGGCAGGTCTTATTTTGAAAATATCAGAAATCACTTGATAAACAATGGTCTTCTAGCAAGAGTTCATGGCAATATTAAAAGGATGCCTCAATGAAAAACCAAAATGGTAATTGATAAAAATATTGCTAAAGTAGTAAAGAATTTTCTAGAAAATTATGCAGAAGTCCATGGCTTACCAGGTCCAGGAAGAAGTAACAATAGAATAACTCAATCAGTTATATTTTTACCAGCTGAAATGAGTTATAAATCAGTACATAGATATTTTCTGGCTGGTCTAGAAGAAGATAATAATTTGAAATCCTTAAAATATGATGCCTTCAGAAAATTATGACATCAATTGACACCAGAGATTCAAATTAT